AACCTTCAAGGAGGTCTGAGGCCGAGCCGAGGCAATACTCCATCACCAGCTGAGGAGGAAACGACAGCGATTACACGTCATCAGTGAAGGAGCTCACACAGCCAACCTAACATGATGAACTCCACCTGTGTCACAGCTCGGCTGAGACCGCTTCAACCAACAGAAACGTCTCCATTTCAATGTTTGTCCAGTGTGAGGTGATGTCACTGAATAACAGTTCAGTTACTAAACACTTATTCCTAATAAAATGACATTTTTCCCCCTATAATAACCAACAGGGGACAGACTATGAGTTACCACTTAACCTAACCCCAATAACTGCGTGTTTTTGGACTGTGGGAAGAAGCCGTTGTACCTGGAGTGAACCCACACAATCATTGGAGAGCATGCAAACTCTACAAAGACCCCGGCCTGATAGAGGAATGAACTCAGGACCTTCTTGCTGTGATTCAACAATGCTAACCACTGTGCTGGCCCTAGGTTAAAACACCTCCCCGTTAACCACGCGTTACAGGACGTACCCATGCCGTGTGCTCCTTCAGGTAGCAGCCCAGGTACTCGATGGTGTTGGGGTGGCGAAGCTTCTGCAGGAACTTCACCTCTTTGATGATGTCCTGCCATTTCTGCACAGCAACAGAAAAACACTCAGCTCTTCTTTCTAAAGTGTGTCTCAGCACATTTTAAATGTAAAGAAGTTCGAAAGAATTTAAATCTGTAAAATAATTTTTCTGGCACACAAAATCCCAAAATTAGCTGCTTAACATCAGTGCGACTGTTTCCTATCAGAGCACGAGCAGACGAGGGTAGGCAGATCTTCAAATCTACGATCGTTGCGCTCGTTACCTCGTTGGTCTGCTTGCCGCTGTACGACATCTTTTTGATGGCCACCACTTCATTGTTGCTCACGTCTCGGGCCTGTTGGACGACACAAACACAATTTATCAGCCCTCAGTACATTTCAGTTCTGTTTCAGGAATCGAACCCGCGACCTGCAAGCCTGCCCTCACAGGCATGCATCCACCGAGACGGTGCTGATGAGGAGCCAGTTCTTATTGTCGAACTACACCAGAAGGTGGAGTAATCTCTGTGTGAGAAAAGTAATGGCTCAGGCCCAGGAACGTTACACTGCTGTCGTGACAGGTAGTTGGCATGGCACCGCGCTTGACTTTGATGGAAATGAGTGGAACCGGTTTTCGATTGGGGACTGCGTCAGGATGTGTGAGCGACCGGTTTGTCCCCTCTGACGAACCGCCGGCGAAATAGTTTCATAGATTTATTTAAAAAGGTTTCTAATGAGCAACATTTAAAGAGAGAAAAATATTTTTTTATAGATAGATATATCTATATATCTCTATGTCAGATATAGAGATAGATATAGATATCTCTCTCTCTCTCTCTCTATATATATATATATATATAGATAGATATAGATATCTCTCTCTCTCTATATATATATCTATCTATATCTATCTCTATATCTATCTATATCTATCTATATATCTATATCTATCTATCTATATCTATATCTATATATATAGATATATATATAGAGAGAGAGAGATAGAGATAGATAGATAGATATAGATATAGAGATAGATAGATAGATATAGAGATAGATAGAGATAGATAGATATAGAGATAGATAGAGATAGATAGATATAGAGATAGATAGATAGATATAGATAGATATAGATAGATATAGAGATAGATAGATAGATAGATATAGATATAGAGATAGATAGATATAGAGATAGATATAGAGATAGAGATAGATATAGAGATAGAGATAGATATAGAGATAGATAGATAGATATAGAGATAGATAGAGATAGATAGATATAGAGATAGATAGAGATAGATAGATATAGAGATAGATATAGAGATAGATAGATATAGAGATAGATATAGAGATAGAGATAGAGATAGAGATAGATA